CCCGCCCCGCTTCCTCTTGCGCCGCTTGCCGGCAACCGCACCGCCCGCGTCTGCGGCACGAGCGCCGCCATTGGCGACGCTCGGCCGCGACCGCGAACGGTCGGGCGGGGCGGCTGAGGAAGGGCGGAGAGCAGCGCTCCGGGACCCCTCCCGGGCAGCGCCGACCCCCAGGCCGTCGAGGCACGCCATGAGGCGCGCCTCGAAGGCCGCGAAGAGACACTTAACGTGCCTCTCCACGACCCTCTCTATCTCCGAGCGGGCGGGCGGGCGCTCCGCGGCCGGCAACTCGCCGGGCACGCGGGGAGACGCCTCGCCCTCCACTCGCGGAGGAGAGAGCGTCGCCGGGGGCGGCGCTGGCTTCGCCTGCGCGACGCCGGCGGCGGCGCGCGCGGTGGCTCGCCGAGATCGGCGCGAGCCAGGTGGCGAGGCCGGCCCCGGAGGCGGGGGCGGCGGCAAAGCGACCGCGTCTGGGGCTGGAGCCCCAGATGGACGTAGGTCCCCTTAAGGTTTTTCGAGGTGCCCGCCACCTTCTCCACCACTGCCACCTTTTCGGTGATCACCGCCCCGAGATCGGGCGTGGGTGCATGCCGCATTTCTGCGGCCACCACCGCCTCGTCCCGGAGCGGCTTGTAGGAGCGGGCCACGCGCGGTGGGGGAACCGTGGGGTCCTCCACCGCCGCCTCGTCGTAGAGCTCTTGCTCCCGACGCTACATCTCCAGGAGCCGCTTTTTGGTTTCGGCGAGGCCGACATATTCCCCCGTAGTGGGTGGCCGACCTCGCTTCCGCCCCGTCGTCGCCGCGGTCGCTGCGCCCGGGCCGACGGCGTCGGAATAAACCGACGCCACCGACACCGTGGACGTCGACGCCCCCGAGTCGTCCGACTCGTCGTCGCCGTCACTTATGACCATCGCCGTCGCGGCCCCGGCGCTTGCCGCGCTCTGTCGCCGGTCACGGGTGCCCGCGAGGCGCTGCAGTCGAACACTCGGCTGCGGCGCCCGCGAGCCACCGGACCTGGGCGCTCCCGAGGCAGCGGCACGGACTCCGCGTCATCTCCTACCGCTGACAGATGCAGGAGCAGACATAGTGCCTGCTCCTGACACCTCTTCTCCAGTAGCCAAACCGACAGCCGTGGCCTGGTGGTCCACCACGGCGTCTACCCGATCGTCAGATAACGACGCGGGGGAGCTCGGGCGAGAACTACCCTCCGCGCCGGTACTGGGGGATCCGACGCCCCCTGCACCGTAAACGTTCAATCCGTTCGTGCTCATTATTCATGTTCATTTTGGGCCCTTGCGGGCGGGTCCAACCCACTCCCAACTTGCCCAGTCGTCGCCGTTTTGCCATCGTGTGCCAGCTCACCGCGTTCGCCCTCCGCACTCAGCAATCTGGTACCCGCAAAGCGGTTCCAGCTACTGAGGCGGAGACCCGGGGGCCCCACGTGGAGGTGCGGTGAGTGGACTTTGAGCCGGTCGGGCCCCCAACTTCGCCGAAATTCCCCGCACCGGACGAGCAAGCTCGCCCGGGTGTTGGTGGAACATCAGCTCCATCGGAGTTCTCGCCCAGGCGACGTGCCCGGACGAGACCCTTCCAGCCCTTGTGTCCCCGTGTCATTGATCCTAGCTTTGTGCAGGATGGAAATGACCGGGGAACTTTAGAAGTATGAATGTAAGTGTACTTACTCCCCGCATTCTATCTGGGAAGGATGTAACCAGGTCAGAACGGCGAACGGGAGGAGGATTGAGATGGTTTTGGCTATGGCTGTTGTTAAACAAAGCCGACGTTAGCAACCGTCTCAATCGAAGTACACTATGAATGATTCATGATAGTGACTGTATATTACAACCGTCGTTAAGCATATTTATGTTTTAGGTATATTTATGCTCTTTTCTTGCTGTTTTTCTGTCCTCTTTTATTTTCAGAGATGTCGGAAAAGAAAAGTTACTGTTTGGAAAAATGGAAAAGGATTTCTTTGACGAAACAGAGAAGTATTTTTCTTGAGGATGGATACTTTTGAAGACAATGAAAATTGTTATGCAAGTCCTCAAGATTGATTATTATTGTTATAAATTGTTAGATTGTTTTGTTGGCCGCTAGCCTCCCCAGGTTTTTAAACCGTGGTTTTCCCTGGGGCAGAAAATGTTTTCTTTGGCGAATGTCAGGTTAGTTTTTGGTTTTGATGGGTCCACGGTAATTTTACTATCAACAATTATTCCCACGAAACCAAAGGCCTGTTTCTTCATGAAAAAGAATTATTTATGTTATATAGAGTGTTAAATGTTAAATTGTAAATGTATTTGAGTCTTAAAAGAGGAGGAGGGGGGAAGTGTTACGTGTGACCCGATAGGTAGCACGTATTGTATAATGTTAAAGCGAGAGACTTCAGGTTAGCGACGTCGTTTTGATAACAACGCCAAAACAGAGACAGAGTAGAGTCGTGATACGACTATAGAATGAAAAAGACGTGTTAAAATAAGTACTCCTCCTCTCCAAATAAATAATTCTTCCTTTTTATTAATATTGCCCTTATTTATTCGGAAGTCATGCCGCGTCCACGCAACAATATTATCGCTATTATTTACGATCAACGTTCCACGAATCGATCAGCCGTAGAGGGTCTGGTAAATGATGCCAGGCGAATATATTTACAACGTGAGCAGGAACCGAAGCGGCTAATAATTATTAAAGGTAAGGAAATTGTTCCCCTTTACGATGTGCCGCACCTGATCAAGGGAATCAGGAACAACCTCTTAAAAAAAAAATCTTACGTGGCAGAAGAATAATGAATTTATGGAGGCAACGTGGGATGATATAATAACAGCGTAGGAAATAGATTCTTCGAGTGAAATTAGATGTTTACCCAAAATTACAGAACGTCACGTAAGTAGGGAAAAAATAAAAACAATGAAAATTTCATATGCTGCCCAAGTGTTTAGTCACTCGATGGCCGCAGCAATTGTTATTATGGCTAGAAATAGTAAGTGTCAAGATGAACGACAATATAGTATTTAATATAATTTAAATTGATATTTGAACTAAACATATTATTTTTTTCAGATGACAGTGATATAACTGGAACGTATACAATGGAAAAGAAAGCGTGCGGTACAGCGACAATTTTTAAATTTTTCGACGATTTATTTGATTCTTTAAACGGCGATTTAGTGCAAGCTCCAATTAGAAAGGTATTACGGGGAGCAGTTGCCAGAGACTCTCCTCATCTCTCCTTTTGGAAAGATTCTCTGCGTCATTTTAGAAATATGTTTTTTAAAGTAGGAGGTTCAGAAGAACATTCTGTGCCTCCCTCTTTAAAAAACTTTATTGTAACAGTAGAAGGTTTTATAAATGTGAGGGAAATTTTTTTTTCTAAAGGGATTACATCTTTTTTTCCGAGATCCCTGAATCAAGATTGCTTAGAAAATTTGTTTTCTCAAATTCGACAAGATCGAACACGCGCGAATAATGTAAACTCAGTTCGATTTGAAGAATCGTACAGAGCTTTATTAATTAGATATATTGCCGGTAAGCATTCCATATCGGCGAACTGTGAGGAGACGTTTTATTCCTCATTGCTACAGTTGCAGGATTTAATGAAATTAGAGGCACCGCGAAAGCCCATCAAATTTTACTTTAGAAGAAATTCCGCATATTAATGTAACAATATACAATTTTGGTAGTTTCTTGAATAAACCCGTGTCAAGAACCGTCTTGCACAGCATGACGCGATTCATATTTCAAAAAGTTTTAATTAAATTCAATTGTTCTCATTGTATGACTCACATTTTGAAACCCTCTACTGCAAATTCTCTAGGGCGTATTATATTTAATGAATACTTTTTAAGATGTATTTATAAAGTGTATAATACTACTAGGTTAATTTTATGTAAATTTAATATTGTAAATAATGTTTGAAATACTATTAAGTTATACATTAAGAGACATGTAATATTTAGTTTTATTTGTAATCATAAAGATGATTTAGTTAATTATAGAATAGATTATATTTTAACATATATAATTAAGAATTATTGTAATTATGTAAATAAGATAATTATAGGGAAATATGTTCGAGGAAAAGCGACAACATGTGAACTAATACGACAAGCGATGTCTATTAGCGCGAAAAGAAAAAAATAATTGTAAAAAATAATTTGTAATATTGTAAATAAATTTTATTTTATATATATATATATGATGAACTGTACATTTTTAATTTATCCAATATACAATAATCTACTAATAAATAAGGGATGCATTTAATACGAATTTTGAACCGCCCGCCATTGCTGATATAGTACCCCCACATCTTGCTAGATGGTGCTAATGTCGTGTTAACAAAATAATGTATTGAGTGGAAGACCCCTGGTTAATACGCCGTGATCCATGCCGTGGTCGGAAATACAGTAATTTTGAGAAACATTTTAAAAACACTCATCAAAAGAGAGGCATAAATAATTCAAGGACAAGTTTAATAAATGAGGATGTTCACATGGGTCATACAGCTCGGATAAGTATGAACGTCACTGGTAAAAACAATCCATGTTCAGGAGGTTTCACCACTGCTGGTAGGAATTCTATTAACGTATCCGCCAAAGCTTTATCTGCTAATACAAGGAAATTTTTCATAGACGAATTAAACGAGAATGATAGTTATGAAGATATGCTCAAGATAGGTACATTTGAAAAGTCTGAAAAACAGATGCATAATATTGGGTTCCAAACTGCAAGTGGTCAACTCTGAATGTCATGAAAGAAACTTTATCGAAAGCAAAAGCATTGTTTTGTGAAGACTTTTCAGAAAATTATGAGGATGCTCCATTGTCTATCAAGTTATTGCACAAACACAAAATTAAAGATACGGATGATGCATCTTTAGACAAACATGCTATATGTAATCAATTTAAGAAGTCACGATTCAGCGAAAAATTCCAGATACTAAATGAATTAAAAGGCAATGACACTTATGAAGATATGTTCAAGATAGGTACCTTTGAAAACTCTGAAAAACAGATGCAAAATATTGGGTTCCAAACTGCAAGTGGTCAAACTCTGAATGTCACAGAGGAAGCATTGTCAAAAGCGAAAGCATTGTTTTGTGAAGACATTTCAAAAGATTTTGAGGATGCTCCATCGTTTATAGAATTGTTGCAAAAATGCGAAGTTAAAGATTTAAATGACGCATCCTTAGACGAACATGCAATGTCTAATCACTTTAAGAAGTCACGATTCAGCGAAAAATTCCAAATAGTAAATGAATTAAAAGGCAATGACACTTATGAAGATATGCTCAAAATAGGTACATTTGAAAAGTCTGAAAAACAGATGCAAAATATTGGGTTCCAAACTGCAATTGGTCAAACTCTGAATGTCACGAAAGAAACTTTATCGAAAGCAAAAGCATTGTTTTGTGAAGACTGTTCAGAAAATTATGAGGATGCTCCATCGTCTATCAAGTTATTGCAAAAACGTAAAATTAAAGATATAGATGATGCATCCTTAGACAAACATGCTATATGTAATCAGTTTAAGAAGTCACGATTCAGCGAAAAATTCCAGATACTAAATGAATTAAATGGCAATGACACTTATGAAGATATGTTCAAGATAGGTACGTTTGAAAACTCTGAAAAACAGATGCAAAATATTGGGTTTCAAACTGCAAGTGGTCAAACTCTGAATGTCACAGAAGAAGCATTGTCAAAAGCGAAAGCATTGTTTTGTGAAGACATTTCAAAAGATTTTGAGGATGCTCCATCGTCTATAGAATTGTTGCAAAAATGCGAAGTTAAAGATTTAAATGACGCATCCTTAGACAAACATGCAATGTCTAATCAGTTTAAGAAGTTACAATTCAGCAGTGAGTTCCAAGAATCTAGAAATGTTCATGGATGTTCAGAAAATTACAAAAAGGAAAGAAATGAAATGTCTTCTGTATCAAATAATGACACCAATAACTTAATGAATGTTATTTCTAAGACTGGAATGAGCAAACAGAACCATGACATAGATGAGAATTCTCTAATTTCCCATGAAATCACAGAAAGTACTATTGCACTTTTAGCTGATGAAAATAGTTTGGGCACCTTTCACGAATGGGTTTCTCCTGTGCATAATGAGGAGAATGAAGATGTTACAAATATACCGTCAAGTCCTGTAATAGGAGGGCAATTTATTTCTAGAAAAAGGAAGTGTGTTGGTGTGCGAAAAAAAACGATAAATTCTGTAAAACATAAACAGAGTAAGTTAATGCATAACGATTGTACGACTAAATTAAATGATAATCATGTATGGTCAGATCAGTATATAAAAGAAGGAAGTCAAGAATCAACAGATAAGGAAAACAAATATATCTCAACAATCAGTAATGATGCTTCAGTTATCAAAGAGTTTGATGACATGCAATTCATGTTGGACTTTATAAATGAATCTGCGACTATATTGGAAAGACGTTTACAAGCTGCCTTTGAACAGGTAAACAAAGGTTTTAATAATGTTTTTGATATTGTTAATTATTGTCATATTTATAGGATAGGCAGATTAAGCTGAAAGAAAAGTGCAAACCAAAGCCAAAAATTTGTAAGTTGTATTTCAATAGAAGAACTAACCATAGTAATCGTATATCTTGGAAAGAAATTACCAAAGGGAATGCACCTATTCCATGTACTTACAAAGAGGTAATAGTTAAACAGATTATCTGAATTTTAAGTTCATTTGTTGAATTGTAATATCAGTAATTTTTTGTTATTAGCTTGTCGAACGGAAGTTACCACCTGAAATTTTGGATATAACAGCTGGTAATGCTGTAACATACAGATTTCGATTTTCAGATTTTTATGGGTAAGATTAATTATATCACATACCATAGTACTTAATGATTTTCTATTTTTTGTCATTGATTGGTAATAATTTATTTTGTCATTTAGTTATATCCTAAAAAAAAAACTGTCCACTATATTAATTTAACATTATCGACTGACTGATTCAATCACAATAAAAAACATAATCGTTTCGTAACAAATGAATAATGAATTAATCATGTATCACAGTTATGTTCACTTCAATTATATGTATCTATAATATGTATTAATCATTTATTAGTAATTCAATAATATGATAATCATTAATCAAATTATATTTTGTTCAGCTTCACATTCTTATGCTTTTACACGCTTTACATAGACTGCAGCTCAAAAGTGTATAGTTACTTATTGGATCAATAGCAAAGATGAATTTTTTTAATTATAAAAGGAAAGATTTCTCACCAGACATAAAACGTCCTGGTAATTTTTTTGTAGGAAATTGTGTATTTTTAGTATTTCGTTAATAAATTTCTATACATTTTTACAGTATCATGATATGTAATTGGAATAGAATTAAATACAAGGATTATATTCGTTAATTATTCGTATATAGGTATTTTTCTGTAATCATTCCATTTAAAAAGATACATAGGTATTTTATTTGTAACATATTACCGTGTACGACTACCGAGAGTTGGTATACATATATTGCTGAAAGTGAAGTCGTGAAGATCAGTGATTCTGAATTTTTTAGCTGTAGTGTAGTTCTGAAGAACAGTCTTGAAATAAATGTATTGCTACACGTTTAGGCAGAACGTCGTACAAAGTAACGTCGAAGGTATAAAACTGGAAGACGACGCATGTGTGATTCTGGATGAGAATGGCTATGCGGGTATATCAGAAATTAAGAGATCTTTCCTCGCTAGTTCAGGGGTAGATCCTAACTTGCTCCCAACTGGATGGCTGGAGAATCATTATAGATGGATTGTGTGGAAATTGGGATCGATGGATAGGATGAAATTCGCTTCTGTCGTTTTACCAAGGTACCAATTGTTATTATACCAATGAATTTCAAGAAGCAATAAAGTATATAAGTGTTGTATTACTTACATAAAAGGACTCCTTTGTAGAGTACTGACTCCCACTAGAGTAATGATGGAACTAAAATATCGTTATGATCGGGAAATCGACAGATCTCAAAGATCAGCTTTAAGAAAAATTTTAGAAAAAGATGATGTTGCGACTAAACGAATGGTTTTGTGTGTATCATCTATTATCGAGGTAATTTCATGCTTACAATAAAAGACTCTTTCTTTCTAAACGAAAATTCTTCTATTTCTACTCTTTTGGCGTTTCTAGTTTTGCTAATGTAACTTTGTAGTCATACAAGATAGAAGAAACCTTAAAAAATAAACATTATTCTGTCCTTTAATATTTATCATGCTGTGCTACGAGACATTTTTCATGATGTATAATTCCTGAATAAGTTAATTTTTTTATTCTTTAAATTATTTGTCTTAAAATTAGAATTCTCATGTTAGTAGACTTTGTCGGTTAGATGAAATGTTATTATAATTCACAGAAAACTGTATGCATATTCTTTTTTTATAGTGTGATAACTATGTCACTCTAAATACAAGTCCGAAACATATGAAACCTCTGTCAACGAAATTAACATTAACTGATGGATGGTACAGTGTTCAGGCTGTTATTGATCAAGCAATGATCAAAAATATTATATCTGGTAAACTAAAAGAAGGGACAAAGCTAATTACATATGGATCCGAATTATTGAACTGTGATCAAGGATGTTCACCCTTAGAAGTATATTTTTATTTGAAATTTTTTAAACTTTTTATGAATTATCTTATGGGAAAATTTTTAATACGTAGGTTCCAGAGAATGCCTGTTTGAGAATCCATACAAATTCAACAAGAAGAGCTAGGTGGTATACAAAATTGGGGTATATAGCACCAACAGGGCCAATGTGTGTTAAATTAAAAAGTATTTCTTCAAATGGTGGTCTGATTGGGAGAATTAACGTTATGATTGCAAGGATATATCCGATATTGTATCACGAGAAAACTTGTTCCGGAGAATCCAGTAAGATATACAAATCTTTATCTAACATTACCGATTTTCTCTATTTCTTTTTTTAAGATTGCAGTTGATCATTTTGGCTTCTGAATAGCTCATTTCAATGTTTCAGTCTTCCGTAACACAAGATGCGAGGAGAAAGCAGGCATTGCTTACGAGAGAGAGTGTCGGTCAATGATAGAAGCGTTCCATGCAAAAACAGAGAAATATTTTTCTATAGGAAAGAGGAGAAGTGACTCAAATCCAGACAGTTTTGACTTGGCTGCAATGGAATGGACCGAAGACTGTGAAAAATTGTCTAAAGAGGTACCGACTCAAGTTATAGAGTTCATATTCTATGTACTCACATGTTATACATACTTTTGTAGGAATTCCTATCGATGCAAGAACAGGAGTCTCTGGTAAACATGTGCCGTATGAAGGAGGAGAAATTTAGGCAAAAGTTAGAGTCTCGACTACAAAGAAGTTTACCATCACCACGACAGGTTACACCTGTGCTAAAAATTCGAGTGATCGAGGAAGAAACGAGCGCTATACTTTCCATTTGGTCTCCAAACGAAGAAGTTACTGATATTTTAAAGGAAGGAAATTGCATATCTGTTTGCAACATTACGCCATCAATGAGAAGGTATCATTCCATTTATTTCTTCATTCTCTTTCATCACAGTTTTCTGGTAGTAGTGGTAAACTTTTATTTTCATATCCTTCTTTGACTCTTTTTTTACTTTCTTATTATCTTCTTGGTGCCTGTCTATTACTTGTGTTTCTTTCTATAGGATGTTTTATCCTCTTCTTTCTGATTATCGAGTCACCGTTTCGTAATTATCTGTTATTTTGCATTTTAATAGAAACAGCAATCTGCAACTAACTGCCGGCCGCAATGCACTATTTGAGCGAGTAAATATATCCAACAAAACCTATCCCCGAAGAATTTACACATCACTATGTGACGTAAACAAGCCCACCTTTGCTCCAGCTTATGGAGAATTTGATACGGTGGGAATTGTTTCTTCTGTCGGAAACGAACCATACGTAAGTCAACATACAAGCTATACTTTGCATGAAAATTATATTCGGTACCAGAAAAACTTGTGTTGCTTTGTAGTATAACCCGCGATCAATAATGATATTCTTATACAGTCAAATTATATTCGACCACATAATACCATGTAATATTCGAGTTTCTTTTTTAGATTTTATTAGTTGGACATTTCGTAACTACTGAAATTTTGAGTGTTAGTATAAAAAAATCTAGTTAGGGTTTGTACTTTTTTACCTGTTTTAAGATTTTTAATATACATAAAAATAAATGGTAAATGCATGTATACAACACCAACCCATCTGATTAATTCTTAACAGAAAATGGTAGGAACTCCATAAAATTAACTTTCTATTTATTTTGTTATTGTTCATTGTTTGATATACCAATGAGTTATTTTAATATTATGGTTTCTTAATTTCACATTTATCAGTGTTCTTTTTTCTTTTAATTTTTCCCATCGAATTTTGAATAAATAATTACGCGTTTGTAATTCTTCAAGCTATACAGAATTATCTCCTATTTGAATTTTAAGACGTAGAAGAATGATAAATTTAGTCATTTTTTGAAGAGAAACCTTATTCCCTACTCTTCTGCCAAGAAACAAGTCGGACAAGTATTTTGTATTTATGTTATGTTAACAGCTTATTTTAAATGAAGAACTAATACATACTCATTGATAAATAAAAAATAATTGAAATTTACTTTGGATTTACCACTGATGAAAAATCACACGAACTTTTTCCGGTACTTAATATTATAGCAACAAATAATTACTATTCCTCACTTCGATAGGGTATGAAGAATTTTCAAGCAGTATATCTCGCGTATCCATATACCGATTCTCAGTCTTCGTATTTATCGATACTGTTCTGGCACGGGATTTCCTCTCACGGATACACGGAGATTTTAACCGTAGGATCTTCAGTTGCCTGTAGCAATTTAGAATGGCGACGAGCAACTTCGTGGAACGTACCAATTGCATATTGCACCGAACGAAGTAATTTCTCTCGAAATCCTAAACAGAGTCATCTTCAGCAGCCATTCGAGGAGTTGAAGCGACTGGTTACGGTACTTGACGATGACAATTTCTTTTATTCCTTAGAGTTGAGTTTAAAATAATAAGTTCCACTCGTTCGTTTTTTATCTATTCGGTGTATATGTTATCGGTCAAGTAATTAATCCTTTGACTGCGGCGCGGCATGCGTATGTCAGTTGCTAAGAAAAGATATACAAGGTTCATTCTATGGAAAAACGATAGAGTTTGAACATTTTTTTGTGGAAAAGTAGATACCTATAAGAAAAGCATTTTGCCAAATCTTTAATGTCTTGCGGGACATTTTGCCTGAATTACAGTAGTTTGAAAAGCATAAAAATGGTCCATTTTCGCTTAGCATAGGTATATTCTAAAAATCATAACTTTGGTTCTAATCGGTCGATTGGGATAATTTCTTTGCGTTAGTTAGGGAAACGTACATATTTATAAGGGAAAAATACAGCAACTTTTTTCCGGAGGAAAAAAATTTCAAGGATAATGAAAACGTACTTTATCCCTAAATATCTCAAAACCCGCATCTTCGATTTTTTTCATTTTTATATATGTTAATTACCATAATTTCAGTAGTGACTGTAAAATTTTCAGAGTGGGATCGCAATGAGTTTGGAAGATATAAGCATTTTCATGGAGGGATGTTTGACGATCGAACTAATTCTTAGACTACATTCTTGTTTAAAAGGAACTTATTCCTCAATTTGAACTGAAACTCAGCTAAACTTATTTTCCCTTTTAAATTTACTTGTATCCTCATACGATTAGAAAAAACTAAATTAATGTTTTTATATATTTTTTTAGTTACACAATACAAATAAAACAATTCTTAAGTGGAGATAAAGTAATAAAATGATAAAGAATCATTATTATTTGGATTTGTTGACACTCTGTTTGAAGTTGTCAGTGGAAGCAGAAAAACAGTTACATTGAACTCCTCTAGTATTTATTGGTATAACACGATGCACCTGTTGCGTTTTTGGGGTCTGTACAGACTCCTCGAATCTGCCTTTAAGAAAAATCTCTGTTGCGTTATATTCTTCTTCTATGACATACGCAAAGAACATATTGAGAAGATGGGATTGTTCCCAATTCATAAAGTTGAAAAGGTATCGCAATGTGATTATTATAAGGCCGTTATAAACTGGCCTTGTAGACGGAGAGTTGACTGGAAAATTTCTAACGTCATTTCCTAATGCAAATTTTTTACATTAAACGATGCAGGCAGTAGTACCAATCATAAAACTGGGGTTTCGCGGGGTCGTGCGCCTAAAGGTGTCAAATTTCAAGCGGCAAAAACGTCATATTCAAATGGCTGAAAATTTTTTACTAATACTATGTTATGCTATAAAACTCAAGATATAATTGCCAGACTATTTGAACCTTGCAAAAGTACTGCCAGACTGGGTTAAAGTGCACAGTGCGTATCTTCATGTATTCTCCAAGCGGTCGGTACACGATTACTTTGATAGTATAAATTATCGCTGTACGTAATTTCCAAATACTTGAACTCTTGTTTTTTAGTATTGGTATGTATATATTCCATGACAGACCAAAATTTCATTGCAAAGACCATACCAGACGACGTTAAAATGTACAGTGCATACGTTCATACATACCTACTGCAAACGGCCGGTATTTAAAACACTTGCATTATTTAACACAATACATCATTTCAGCTTCACTTAAATTATGTACAAAAAAACATTTACGCAATAAAATTAATCACTGTGCCGGTAGTTTGTACATAAAATACGTATCACGCGCACAGTGTATTTTAACGATGTTTGGCATGATCTTGACAACAAAATTTTGGTCTGGCATAGAATGTATACAACTAATAAACTAAACAAAAATTCAGCCATTTGGAAATGACGTACAACGATAATTTGTACATACTATCAAAGTAATCGTATCCCGACCGGTAGGAGCGCACGTAAACGTACGTACTGTGCACTTCAATGTCGTCTGGCATGGTTTTAAAAACGATATTTAGGTGTGTCGTGAACTTTTTTACGTTATTTATTATTTTTATTATTTTATTACTTTATCTCCACTTAAGAATTGTTTTATTTATATTGTGTAAATAAAAAAATATATAAAAACATTAATTTAGTTTTTCCTAATCGTGTGGAAATGCAAGTAAATTTATAAGGGAAAATAATCTTATCTGAGTTTTAGTGCAAATTGAAGAATAAGTTCATTTTAAACAAAAATGTAGTGTAAGAATTAGTTCGATCGTCAAACATGCCTCCATGAAAATGCTTATTATCTTTCAAACTCATTGCAAAATCTAAATTCTATGTTAGATCAATTTAGTAAAACAGTAATTGTATATTTTAGTAAGAAAAGTTTAGAGGGCGTATATATACACCTTTCGTAGTCAAAGGGTTAATAGGCCATTATTGAGGATCACTTGGTCAATAATATATATACTACCTTAAATAAAGACCTTTGGACAATGTTGTATTAAAAATTCTCGACTATAGAACAGATACTCCATGTTGCAAGTGTTTGAAATAAACGTGATGAAAAAATATATTTGGTATGTTATTATATAAGTTCAGTAAAGGAACTAACGAACTGCAAAAGTGAATAACGTATCTTAAGTAAACGGAGAAATTATTAGAGTAAATCAGCGTTAACGAGATATGTTACGGATTGCTACTGAACAAAACGTATCAATCAGTATTCACAAATTTTAACTGAAAAGTTGAAAATGTATCATTTGATATATGAAAGAATTCTTTTGATTTTTCTTTTTTCTTTCATGTAATATACATATCGAAATAGTCGTATTATTTATCTTAATAATTGACCGTGAAATATCATTACTGATGATGTAATAATTAGAAATACTTTTCAGGACATTGAAACGTACGTAGTAAAATGCGCAGCCGAGATTTCAGAGGAAATGCAGAAAAAGTCGATGACCAGATCATTGAATACACCGGATAAAATTTTTTCTAATGAAAAGCATAATTCCGAACTTCAGGAGTCCCCAAGGAAAAACTTAATGAATTCGTCAGCGAAGTCTGTTGCTATACAGAAGCGACTAAAAAAATTGCAGTGCTATGGCGAAACGTCACCATTATCTCCAATTGTGCTCAATAATAGTTCTAAACGAATATCGTTGAATTTTCAATCTCCGATTCGAACGTCAAACGTAAAACAAATGAAGGTACATGTATCATTAAATACAAAGCTTTCTTAAAATTGCAAATGAACAATTGCGACGTTATTATCAATTTATTATAATTAATAAAAAAAAGTAATACAGCGCCTGCGCAAAAGTTGGATCGTGCTGGTGCGCCGGCGTACGCAACATGGTGGGAGAGCGAATGTGTGCCGTGAAAGTACGTGTGAAGGGGAAGTGACGCATATCACATTATTTTCAGTGGATTAAGGTAGCTACTGTATGCATATGTATAACCTCTTAATACATGCATGCATACACACGGTGTCCCATTTAAATCAATCCGTGCGAACATATGCGAACATATTGATGTCATAATGAACATATTTTAGATAAATGTTATATAGACATGAGATGGATATAATTTAATGTTGGTAATTTATTTTTCAAATAGAATTATGTTTTTAGAAACCATAAACATATAAAAGTTTTTATGGCACAGATACATACATTGGTTTAGGCACAGTCGACTCTACTACTATCCGTACTGAAGGTAAAAATGGCAACAACGCGAGAGTCCGGCTTGAATATACCCACCCAACCTACCACATCAACCTCCCAGGCCTCTCGCTTTCATTGGCCTCCCGGCTACTCAGTCTCCCTCTACCGGCCTCTCAGTTTCCCGCCTATCCTTCAAATGTTTAGATTATTGTAATCCTCTGAATGTAAGAATTAGTACAATAATCCAGGTAAATTTTATTTATTTATATTAACTCTACATATCATTTTTTTTTTGTAGCATATTTATTTAATAATATCTAGAGTCTTTTTGGAAATTTTGTTTATAATTTTCATATGTTTATTAATAATGCGACGGCGTTGCTGTGTTCCCAATTGTAAGTGAAATTATGATAGTACTTTAAAAGTAATTATATATCTATATTTTTCTTCTCCAAAGATGAGGAATTGCGGCAAGAATAGATGGCTGCTATTCCTCGAAAAAATTGGACACCAACAAAATATTCTGCCGTTTGCAGTCTGCATTTTGCAAACAGTGCTATTTAAAGGTACCAAGGTATTCTATCACCCAATGGTGTACTGGAGAATATTTTGTTGAGATATCCAAGACTTATAGCGAATGCAGTACCATCCATTTTCCCCAATTTCCCTTCTTACTTTGTGAAACATTTGCTACCACCAAGAAAAGATCTTGTAGAGCGAGATCAAGAAATCATTAAAAGGCATGAAAATTTAATCTAAGAATTTACTAATTCATATTTAATTAGTAATTTCTCAGATTTAATAAATAATCATGAAGAAAAGCTTGTACTTTCAAATTGTTGTACTAAAATTAAAAATTCAAAAATTTATTTTTGTATGCTCGTATGTAATGATAATTCTGACTTTTTGATTCTAAATACACAGATTGTGATTAGTGACAACATGAAATTACAAGTTTTTCAAAAAAGCATTGAAGTTTCATTCAATGATTTAAAGTGGTACTGCCTATTGATAAGAAATTACCTAGGTGGTCTGAGCTTGAAAATTTATTAAGTAAATATAAAGTATTACAGAGTCCACATTCTACCACTGATATATATGTCTTATTGAAAAACATCTTGAGAAATCTCTAGAAGCTCTTACTAAGGCATATATTATTGCAGAATCAATTGAATGTGCTTATACCAAAAATCTTGAAGTAGTAAGAGATCAAATAAGACAAATAAAAAATAAAAAAAATAGATATAGCTCTTGCACCATTATTATGGCTTTTTCGTTATATAGCCAATCGTCCGCTAAATACAATTGCTTGTCCAATTGTGTTGTAGATGATTCCATTAAAATTTACATATCTGATTATGGGTCCTATTCTGTTGCTAAAAAATGAAATTGCAATACATGTCGATTATTAATTGTGGAGGATAAAAGTAAAACTGTAGGCCATGTATATTTTGGTCACTTACAAAGAAGGGGCCTTTCTGTTCCCACTGAAGAAGTGATAACTTCATTTATTCATATGTATGCAATAATGGAAGCCATAATAAATGACAGCAATTTGGAATCTCAATTTTTGCAATCTGAAAACCATAAACATATTTTATGTAAATTAACATATATTAGTATTCAATCAGATGTACATTGTTTATAATTTTCAGATACATGCATTTGTGGTCAAAGTTACCACAGTATTTTGTTAAAATTGCCTATTTTTTCGAATATTTTATTAAATGATTATGTGAAAACTGTAAATAATAAACTGTTCTCTAACCCGAGTTCATAATTACCTGCATAATTGTTCCTTTCAATAGCGAATTATCCTAACTTCTTTTCCACATGTCCCTTAACCTGTTTGGCATCGTACAAAATATTTTGTCTATTTCAGGTTTCGGCTGAACTTTACTTCCCCGAACCAAAAATTATCGACTTTCTTTTATATTTTCTGGTAGTATTCAACGAGTAGAATCTAAAAATGCAAGTTTTAAATTTACGAATCCAGCGGTTCAAAAGTTATGCGTATGTAAAACCAAGTATTTTTAGCGTACTCTACAGGTTAGTTTAACGCCATATTGACTTCTATACCAAATTCGTCCAATCAGTGGTGTCACTGCTTGTAAGTAGATAAATATGCTTCAAATATGCTTGTACAGAGGAATCACTTAATCAAAGCGAAATACTGATTCTGAGTAGGTTTGATCTAGTTCAGGTGGCGGGGAGGGCTGCCACCCCTCCCCTAAAACAACAGACGACTTTCTACGATTATTTATTAACTAACTCTAACCAACTCAGAATCAGTATTTCGCTTTGATTAAGTGTTCCTATTGACAAGCATATTTGAATTATCCCGCCAAAATGGCCGCCGTCACGTGCATCTCCTTACAAGCAGTGACACCACTGATTGGACGAATTTGGTATAGAAGTCAATATGGCGTTAAACTAACCCGTATAATACGCTAAAAATGCTTGGTTTTACATACGCATAACTTTTGAACCGCTGGATTCTTAAACTTAACACTTGCATTTTCAGATTCTACTCATTGAATACTCCAGAAAATATAAAAAAAAGTCGATAATTTATGGTCCGGGGAAGTAAAGTTTAACTCAGGTTTCTATTAACTTATACATACATTTATAAATGTTTAAGTGCTTCAATTTGGTTCAAAGATGGTTTTATCATGCTTCACACTTATATTTTTTTGAAACCACTGTCAATATTTCAAATATAATGCATCACAACACCAAACTATTCAAAGTGTCCACAAAATATATACCACATTTATAAACATTAGTATACATCTATATTACTTCTACTTACTATAGTTACGATATTTATGTATTCCTTATGCACAATTAATCAAAAATACTGTGTATTAGTATGGTTTTATGTAAAAAATAACGATAATTATAACACTGAGCACAAAACTCTATTCTTGAAAATAGAACTATCGAAACCGCCATGAGCGGTGTTGCCGCGTTGTTCAGAACAGCGAGTACTAAAGTCGGCTGTGGTTTAGGAGATATTTTAATCTCATAATTTACATACTCTCATATTTTTCTTATATACATATTCTCATACTCTACACGTGTCTGTGAAAACAAATTATTAATTAACATCAAGTTATCTTCTTCGCGAAATTGTACAACTTTGTAACATTTTTCAGTTTTATGAATAGTTTCAACGATACTTAAGGGGGGAGACTCCGTGGGCCGTGAGCTGTGTGCGAGCGCTCACCAATCTACGAGAACCGTGTATGTACACCTGCGAGCAAAGTCGGCTCCCGTTGAGGCAAAAGCAGCGTAGGGGAAGAACCCCCCACCACTTGACCACAGAAGTCACTGAAACTCATGCCACACTTACATGAAAGAACCACATTCAGTTTAACATTTATTTCAGTACTCGACAAGCAACCAAATTTGCGCGTTTGAACGTTTGAGGGTAAAAGCGATATTTTATTGTCAGTGAAATGAGTAATAAACACAATTGGTCACCAGTCTGTCAACAGCCAGCGTGTATCGGTCATTGTTCAGTGGTGCTATCGTCGTCCATTGAACCATTGGCGAAACAATCTCCCCCACTATAGCAGCAACGCAGGGAAACCGACTCTGCTCGACTGCGCGGAAACCGTCGCATAAGTCTGTCCTTTTCGCACTTGCGGTTGTCCTCTTTTACGGCGCATCCTCGTCTTGACGATGTTTCAAGGGTCCCTGTTTTTGGTCGGCACGATGAAAATGGCGGTAAATGGGATACCACATGAACCGTATACTAAATTATTCATTGAGCTAATAAATATTTTACACATAGAAAATTAATTTCTTTTCCTAAACTGGTTAGTATATTCATCAGTACCCCCTGAACTCTTTATACAGTATCATGTTTTAATTGTTATCATTAATTGTTGATAATTAAGTAAGTAATCACGAGATGGATTGAATTACAGAATTGGTCGACAGATTGTCGGAGGAGAACTTGAACTGTAACATCGAGGTAAAAGTAGATTTTATTACAATACTGGGTGGGGAACTTTTATTAGCTCAATGAATAATTCGGTATACAGTTCATCTGGTGTTCCATTTACCGCCATTTTCATCGTGCCGACCGAAAACAGGGCAGGCTGACCGAAAATTGGCCCTTTCCGGGGCCACGAATTTTCCTAACGTAGGAATAACACGTTGGATTAAAAATACATTAAGTGATTGTGTCGGGTGATCAGTGTTAGTGGTCGTGCAGTGAAGTGAGTACGTATTCGATGGAATAACCAGGACGCACTTGACGTTACAACCCTTAACTTCGGCTGGTGAAGTATACCTGCGATCACCTGCAAACTGAGCGATACCCTGCCATAAACCATTTCGGCCGTCGATGACCAGGATCGGTTCAGTGATCTAGTGACACAGGTTTGCAAACTGCAGGTGAATTTCCGAAAGGGTGAGTTCTAATCAATTTATTGCTGATTACTATTTTTTTAATTTAACGCAAGGTATGGCTTGTTTCCGGCGATAATTCTGTAAGTTTCTGTACCTAACTTTTTCTTCGGGTTTTTTGAAGAAACTTATTCATTATCAGTAACATTGTTGACCGTTATTAAACTACGAATTTTTATACCAATATCGAAGTACGATCACTTCTCGTTCATTCT